AAATTAAATATTAATTTTTATTTTTTTATATAAATTAATAAAAAAATATATTTATTATCTTTTTAATCTTTGTTTTAAACACACATATTAAAAAAATTAATTTAAAACCCCGTTTGCGCGTTAACGCGTGGTAAAATGGTAAATGAGTGAATTGGGAGGAGAGAGAATCTTCCAAAAAGTCGTTGTCTTTGGTGGTATGGAAAGTCCGTACTCAGAAACCGCGTTTTTACTTTCTTAACGGGTTTTGGCATGTGGAGTTAGGTAGCGAACCAATTGCGTAACGGAATGTCCCACGCCACCGGAATCTACACCGCTTTTATTTATTTTTGGGCAACTTTTTTTTTTTGAAAAGAGGTAATGGTATTTTTTTTTGTACTTTACACATTAGCAATCACTTATTAATTTGAATTTAATGGATGATTCAACGGTAAAAATTTTAAATTCGAAATTTTAAATTTTAAATTTTGGGGAATGTGAAAATAAATTTGAAAATAAGAAAGATTATTTTTTTGTATAATTTATAATTAAATATATCAAAAAAATCACTTATTAATTTGAATAAAAAATTTTAATTTCTTTTAATTAAGATTTTAAAATTAAATTTTATAAATAAAAAACAGATGTTCAAAAAACTCTTATAAAGTTTCAATGTCATTTAATTCTAAATGAATTAGAATTCATTGTAAGCAAGTTCATACAGAAAAAATTGCAGATAATTTTTCAAAATAGATTGAGGACTTTTTTTTTAATAATAACAATAATTAATAGGTTAATATTGTTAAATATTAATAATTAAAGATTCAATTCATAAACAAAATGAATAACCTATTTACCTCAATTAATAAACAGTGCTGTTAGTTTACATTGGACGAGGGACGATATTAGCATGTTTTTGGATGGTAGAGGAAGCATAGGTGAAGTTAATTAATAATAGAGTGAGGATAAAAAGCAAAATTGATAATAGAAGATTTAAATTGTACTATTTTTTATTTTTTATAATGGAGGGATGATAGCTGGCATTAGCCCGATAGAAGTATGACGCAGGTTGTCTGATTTCTTGCAGCTAGCAGCTAGCAGCTAGCTTGCTGACGGCATTAAAGTCACATGATCATGACAAGACAACTGACAATGACAGAATACGTACTGCACTACGAAACACGCTTGTTCACCAATGTTGTGCAATATGTATAATGGACCAATTTCTGTTTGAATGATCCATTCTAACAGTTCAACCAATCCAGCCCAGGTTATAGACTTTTGATTTGCTGCCTCCTCTTCTCAAAGCCAGTGTGAGTACTGCTCGGATGAGTTCGCTGAAGTCGCTGTTTTTTGAAGTGATGATATCAGTTTTATGTGAAAATGGGATTTTCTACTTGTTTGAATATGCAACTCCTCTGTTTTTGGGTTCGCTTGGGGACACCTCTGTGATTCGCCGGGCGTTGGTGCATGTAGTGAAATACTGCTTTAACATTTGGGTTGGAGGTGGAGAGGAGTAGTGAGAATTTATGTACAATAGTTTGACTATAGTTCTAGTCAAAATAACTAAAATGTAGGCTTTTTATATATATATATATATATATATATAAAATAACAGTTTATCTTAAACTTTAATACTTTTCAAAGTGGCTATAACTACAAGGCCAAACTCCCTATTTGCACCCTTCATTTAATTCTTTTCTACAGTCAATACCTTCTAAAATTTTTCCTTCCTATTCACACTCTTCACTCGTCAAAACCCGTGAAAAACTCAATATTTTAACGGGCCATCACGGCACTGTTAAAAAATGCACTACGTAGCACTATGTAATGTTAGTAATCCAATGTGAAACCCCTTTTTTATGATGTGACTTATTTTCTACACACGTGGTCCCACGTGTGCATAAACCTAAAACTCAAAACAGATTTACAGAAACCTCGTTGTCTTTGTCTTCTCAGTCCTAAACCCCAATCCAGAACCCAAAACTAAATCTTCCTCAACAAATCATTCAAAATGCACAAATTGAGCTCATTCAAAGACTTGAATTTGCCAAAAGATAAACCATAATAGCTAAAAAGGTACCAACCACAAGGAAGAAAAGCGCGATTGTAAGATCTAGTAAAAATTATCCATATTTTTCACAAAATCGCAATTTTGACTTGTAGCAA